TTTCTTTGCAATTTATTTTGTGTTTAAATTTGATATAGTATATATATTATATATCTAATACATATAAACTATATATATATATAAGGCACTATACATACATATATATATATACATACATACACATATATATATAAGGCCATATATATATCTCTAATACATAGAAACTATATATATATATACGTATATATAAGGTAATATATATTACATAAGGCAATATATAATTATATATACACATAATACACCCTTATATATACATACTATACATACTATATATTATTTATATAGCTACATATAAGCAATTTATACTAGTATATACATATATAGTTTACAAGAAAGTGCCTTAGATAAAAAAAATTAAAAAAATAGCCTATATATGTGTGTGTGTGTGTGTGTGTGTATATATATATATATATATACATACATACATACATATATATAAGGCAATATATATTACATAAGGCAATATATAATTGTATATACACATAATACACCCTTATATATACATACTATATATACTATATATATTTATATAGCTATATATAAGCAATTTATACTAGTATATACATATATAGTTTACAAGAAAGTGCCTTAGGTAAAAAAAATTAAAAAAATAGCCTATATATATATATGTGTGTGTGTGTGTAAGGCAATATATATTACATAAGGCAATATATAATTGTATATACACATAATACACCCTTATATATACATACTATATATACTATATATATTTATATAGCTATATATAAGCAATTTATACTAGTATATACATATATAGTTTACAAGAAAATGCCTTATATTAAAAAAATAGCCCGAAACAAAAAAAAACGTTAGGCCCGTTTAGGCCCGCGGGCCCGGCCCATTTAGCCCGGGACCATGTGGGCTTAGGACCGCCGTGGGCCGGTTCTACACATTGGGACTGTTTGGCCCGCGACCGCCTCGGCCCGGCCCGTCTCAAGCCCAGACCCGTTTGGCCGGGGCCACAATACAGCCTTATGTAAGAACCATGGCCAAATGACCTGCCACAGTGACCTGAACGGGTTGGCTGAGCATGCCTGAATGAACGGCCTCTGCCGTGTTGAAACTGGCCTCCCGAAGAAGAACCCCCAAAACTACTAGATCCCCAGGCCTCTTGGCCTCCCTCTCTTCTCGCTCCTGATGACGAACTGACTCAATCTCTCTAGCAATTTCAACCACCTCCTCATAAGTAGAGCTAGATACTCTCTCTGGTCATAAAAATCAGTAGTTGATAGTTGAGGCCATCAATAAACCTCCTGATCCTCGCCTTATTTATGGGAGCTAACCAAATAGCATGACGGACCAACTCGGAGAACCTCATCTCATACTGCGTCACGGACAGGCCCTCTTAACGCAGTTGCTCGAACTCCCTACGCAGCTCCTCCCTGCAGGAATGCGGTACATACTTCTCTAGAAAGAGAATGGAGAACTGATGCCAGTTAAGTGGTGCACCAACAGACCTACGCCTCTCATAAGCCTCCCACCAAGTGAAGGCAGCCCCGGAAAACTGAAAAGTAGTAAATGAAACCCCACTAGTCTCAAGAATACCTGTTGTATGCAACATCCTCTAACACTTATCCAAGAAACCCTAGCATCCTCGCCTCTACACCACTAAAAGTCGGATGTTGAAGTCTACCAAACCTCTCCAATCGACGCTGCTCGTCATCAGGCATAACTAGAACCACAAAATCCTGAGCAGGTGCAACCGGCTGGGCTGGTGGTCCCTCCGGTGGCGCCTATCGTGATACTAGGCCAACCACTTATTTCCAAATACTTCATTTTTCGAATAAAAACTTAAGGTAAATCACAATTTTAACAGAAATTCAATGAGATAAAAGTTTAAATCAAATCCAACGAAAAGAAACACAGTCCCGACCTCGGGTGTCACTAGATCATAAGCCAAACACTAATACAACTGTTCGAAATAACATGACCAACACAGTCTGAGAATATCCAAAACATATAAACTAAAGGAAGATAAGAAAAAGAGAAGGCGGAACTGCAGTCGCCAAGCAGCTAACTCGCAATCCCCAAGTGAAAGTCCGCACAATAAGATCAGTAGGCGCTACCGTGCCCCGAGTTACCTGGATCTGCACACAGGGGTGCAGGGGGTAATGTGAGTACACCAACTCAGTAAGTAACAAGTCCAACCTATGGACTAACAAGTAGTGAAGGACCAAACCTCAACAGGTAATAACATATATCTGAACAGGAAAAGTAGGCATGCTTACAGTTTAAGTAAAGTTCAACAGTATTTAAATGCAACTGACAGTACGAAGTTCAAAGCTCAGAGATTTTACATATACAAATGCACAACTAGCATGATCAATGACCCATGAACCTCCACTTACAAGTATTCAACCCCTCAGTAATGTATATGGTCATCCGGCCCAGGGAAGATCCATTCCGGAATATACATCACTGACTGCAGTCATCCAATACCGAGGACACACGCCAGTCCAGCCTCACGGAGAAGATCCATCTCCCGGTATAATACTTTGGACAAGATCCATGTCCAGGGAAGATCCATCCCTAAATATCATCATCTACTGCGCTCACTGGGGTGTAAAGACTCCGGAGGGGCTTCTCTCATTAGCCCAAGCGCTATAACAAAGCCAACGAAGGCTTGTTCAATATCTCGTTGTGGTGTGCATCCCAATCTCATACTGTCAGTCAATATCAGGCTCTCGGCCTCACTCAATCATAACTCACCAGTCTCACACACGGGCTCCAATGTCATGATACTAGCCGGATCAACAATAAAATGTGGCAAATAGTAATAATCGAGACTGAGACATGATATAATATGCATAGAAGGGACTGAGTACGAAATATCAGTAAAATAAATGATATAACAGCAAGAAACGACCTCTAGGGTCTAAATGATATCGGCGTGAAGCCTTAACATGATAATCAGCATGATTTACAGCTCAACAACTAAATCACACAATTACAACATAGATATCGGTAAAAAAGAATCACTAAGCAGTGTTCTGGAATTATCCAGGTCGCGTTTCTTATGGTGCACTCCCATACGCCCATCATTTGGCATAGTGTCACCTTTATAACAATCATAGAACACATACTTCGGCGTTTTGAACCCGCAAAACTAAGGTTGGAAGCGTTACTTACCTCAAGTCAAGTCAAACTCTAGTCCGCGACGCCTTTTCCTCTCGATTCGGCCTCCAAATGCCCCGAATCTAACCAAAATCAGTACATAACCATCAAAATATGCTAAGGGGACAAAGCCCACTCGAAAATAATCAAATTACATCAAAATCCCGAAATTGGTCAAAACCCGACCCCCGGGACCACGTCTCGGATTTTGATAAAAATCACAAAACTAGAATCCTTACACTCTCACGAGTTCATACATATCAAGAATACCAAAATCCGACCACAAATGACCCCTCAAATCCCTAGATTTAGGTCTCCAATTTTCAAGCCTTAACTCCCCAATTTTAGGCTTCAAATCCCCCAAATTTCATTTTTAATTAGGTATAAATCACATTAGGAACGAGTATTAAGTCCATAATTCTTACCTCCAAGAAGTTCTCTTTGATTCCCTCTTCAATCTCCCTCAAGAAGCTCCAAAACCGAGTCAAAAATGGTGAACTTAGGCCAAATATCGCGAAAATGACCTTTTAAACATTCTACCTAGTGATTTTAAATCCTTCTCCGCAAACGCGGTCAAAGCCTCACGTTCGCGAAGCACAAGAATACCGTTGACCAAAAATCCTCTTACGCGAACACGATGACTCCTCGCGAACGCGATGCCTCAGCAAATCAAACCTTCGCGAACGCAACATCACCATCGCGAATGCATTGAACACAGACCCAGCCCTTTGCAAACGTAGGACCCTCATCGTGAATGCGAAGGCCAACACTCCTACCTCACATCCTAACCCTTTGCAAACGTGAGGGTCCACTCGCGAACGCGAAGCACAACTATCTGCAACACTAATAGCAGTTTTCTACAACTTTTTCCAACATGATATGATCCATTCAACCACCCGAAACTCTCCCGAGGCCCTCGAGACCTCAACCAAACATGCCAACATATCCAATAACCTCATTCAAACTTGTTCCAACCTTCGGAACACTCAAAAAATCATCAAAACACCAAATTTACATCGAATTCAAGACTAAGAATTCCAAAAGCATCCAAATTTCGCTTTCGATCAAAAAGTCTATCAAACCTCGTCCGAATGACCTGAAATTTTGCACACACATCACAAATGACACAACGGACCTACTTCAACTTCCGTAATTCCATTCCAACCCCTATATCAAAATCTCACCTATCAACCGAGAAACGCCAAAATTTCAATTTCGCCAATTCAAGCCTAAATCTACTCTGGACCTCCAAAACACATTCTGATCACGCTCCTAAGTCCCAAATCACCTCCCGAAACTATCTGAACCATCAGAATTTACATCCGATCCCTTTTTCATATAAGTCAACATCCGGTTAACTTTTCCAACTTAAGCTTACTCAAAAGAGACTAGGTGTCTCAAACCTTACCAGAACCTCTCCGAAGCCACACCAACCAATCCGATAACGCATAATGCGTCTGGACAAGACAATAAGAAATAGAAATGGGTGAAACAGAGCGGTAACTCATGAAACAACCGATCGGGTCGTTACACACAGATTAGCCTGTATCATATGATTTCTAGATAAAATAATTTGTGATATCGTGTGGCATGTGCTCAATTGTGAAATAATCCTTTTTCATTTTCTAAATTAGTTTCAATGAAATACAAGTTTGCTTTAAAATGATATGATCCATCTACTTGCAAGATACAGATGCCTTTTCAACTCAACTAAATGAAACAAACAGGAAGTTTGCTTAGACAACCCATTCAACAATGACAAAAGTAGACAGTAGTCATAATTGGTTCCTGAAGTTTAGAACTAACCAAACTACTATATCATGCATCCACCAACTAGTTTGGAAAGGGAACTAACAAGAAAATTATAAGTCTAATTTGAATAGGATATGGTATTTGAGTCATAATGCATACACATAATGAAAGTCAACAACAAAAGATTAAAACGGAAGAAACAGAGACTGTTGCTTATTTACTTGTCTTATTATATGGCTCTTCTGCAACAACAGATATAATAAATCATGGAATAAAGAAACAGATCTTACATTTATCCTAAACTAACAATTGATGAGTACAACTTATGCATCAAATACAGTAATACTTTATGCCAAGATACTACACTTGCAGAGTTGAAATTGTGACATTTATGTCACGACGTAGATAGAGCTACATCAAAAAGAAAAAATTGAAATTCAAAATCAGCCTTTCAAAGTTCTATCAAAATGCTATAATTAGTAAGTACCAAGAGATAATTGATCCAATTTCATAGGGTAAAAAGTATAGGAAAAATGAGAAAACTCACGTGTCAACTATCTCACTATAGAACTGGATCGAAGTAGACGGTGCTGGGATTGACGGAAGAGGGCAACGGTTTGAGCGAACTGGAAAAAATTCGATTTGAGCGTTCAGATGAACAAATTAAACAGAAAAAGGGAAAAAAACTTACAGTATGAGAAGAAAGAGAGAGAGCTGAGTGATTAGTAACAAGATTCCAACAGAAAGAGCCGGAAAGCAAAAGAAAAATTAGAAAAAATCATTAACATGTTATTTAATCAACCATAAATTACATAAAATTTCAGTGACTACTAATGACCAATAACAACAGCAAATGAGCTTTACAAGAATATGATTTTTTTTTTTAAAAAAAAAGAGAAAGAAAGAGGAACATAAATAAAAGATGTAAAAGTCTTGATCAGACTTCAGACCAAATCGTTATAAGCGTTATCTATTCTTTCAAACAACAGATTGTCCATATACTTTAAATCAAATGTATTAATTTTACTTCATATTCATTTATTATTTACGCTTTCATGGTTCCGAAACAGGTTTCTGAATTAAACAAATTAAATGGATATACATGATTTCATATAGAAGGCAAAGCTAAGGTTGATTTAATTTACCAACTTCAAAAAAGGCTCTAACATCCTTCTGGATTATTTAATTCTCTCTATTCATAGTTCCATATTATACGTTGTGAAATAAAAAATTATTCAATACTCTTGAAAATCCCCTCAGTATATATATAGTTTTGTTAATATACACATCAAATTCACATCTAAAATGACGCTCAGTTGCAACTTTATTCAAGCTGTTAAGTGACAAACAAATTAAATATTTGACTGCAAACTTAATAAATCCGCCACACATAATCCAATAGATGAAATCCAATCAAATTAAAGTGAGGACTAACCGAACCAAACTGAAGATAGCCCAGATGCTCCTTTCCCTGTTCTAAGTTGAATTATGAGTAGCAAGAGAAGGGGAAATTAGTAGGGTAAAATGGTAAAGCAGCAGAACCGATCTAGTTGAGGATATATAGCAATGTCTATTCTGGAAATCCCCATAGACATAGTGGGATATATATATTTGGGGAGAGAGGGGTTATCGGTGTCGAGCAGAGAGAGGGGGGTTATTGGTGAGCAGAGAGAGAGAAAATTAGGGAAATAGGGTTTGGATGTGGAATATTAGATTAATATTACAAACCACCGTAGTCGCAAACCTGCTTAAAATTCTTTTATTATTTTAATTTTAATTTTGCGACCGATACAGTCGCTTAGTGGGTCAACAGAAATATTTGACTTTTTAATGTCCGACCGAATCGGTCACAAAAGTGAAGGCGGGAAATCGGTGCGTTGTTTTCCCACTGCCTTGGTCGGAATAATAGTCATTTTTTTAAAAAAAAATAAGTATAAAAATTCAATCCCTTTGCGACTATTGCGGTCGCAAAAGTAGTCCCATTAGCGACTACTTCATTTTCAGTTACAAATTGATGTTTTTCTAGTATGAGTCTTGCGAATCAGTATGATGACGTCCATACCTATCTTCGAGAGGCTACAGGGCATTTAGGATAAACTTCATATCTTTCTTTCCTTATCGTACGGTATTGATTCAGCTTGAAGCGTAACTCTTTGAATTCCTTTCATGCATTCATGTGCGCATGTGAGTGCTCGGTATCGGTTGTGCATCGATGACTTGTGTTTACATGGATAAGGTGCGAGATGTGATTTATGTGTGCTGATGATGGGTCAGTCTAGAGGACTTGAGTCTGGGTTTTGACTGTAACTTGAGCATGGGGATTGTGGTTGTGTGAGCATGTGCTTTTGGACTTATACATCTTGTAGTATCCCTATGCGTGGAATTTGTGGCCGGCGAGTGGTTGGATGATTAAATGATGAGTAAGATGTGATTGCGGGCTTTGTTTAGATGATTTGAATGTGACGAGAAGAGTCTTCTTGAGATGTAAAAAGGATAAATGGGTGCTTGATTTCTGCCTTGATGTGATGTATAGTCTCGAGTTATAAGTGTATTGAAAGTTTTTCATGTTGTTTAATTGTGGAACGAATTTGATTCTCATGTCTTATTGATGAGTTCAGACTTAGAAAGATTAAGTGATGGCATAGTAGTTGTGACTAGAGTATGAGATTTACATTAGATGGTGTTGAGACGCGCGGTATTTCTATATCATTGTGGATTATACATTTCAGTATTAGGAAGGTGAAGGAAATGGCTTTAGATTCACAGAATGTCTTTTCAAAGTGGGTTTCTCGGTTGTGGTACTTTGGGGTGCTAAGAGGGAATACAGCGGCTTATGGGCCTTAGGGCGGTGTGGTTTTTATGTTAGGATCTCTTACGGCGAGCTTTTGGGGTAAGGATCGTAGTGTTCTTGCAAGGAGGGGTATCAACTTAAGGATAATTTAGATGAAATTGGGCAGTTTGATAGTAGGTTGGATCGGCACAGTAATGGTATGATCGATTCTTTAGGCACTTATGATGTGGTGAGTCTCCACAGGTGTTTCGTGGCAATGCTATTGGGTTTTGGCGACTGTGTGGCTTGGTTGAGTTAGAGGGATTCAGTTCTGATAGCTTGGTTATATGCAAATGGATTCCAAAGAGTTCTCGATAATTTCTATCACGGTTCGAGGTAGATATTTCCTACTGGCATAAGGAACATGTTGTGTTTGGGATTTTCTCCCAGATGAGATCAAATGGAAGGTTTCTAACTGATCGGGTATGTATTATGCTGGCGACTCAGAGTTTATTATTAGATTCTTGTGCTTTTCATATGATGGCATGATAGATGCAGTGTGTTGTGAAAGATTGAGATTTGCATGTGGAAGGTCACGCTTCAGTTTTGAAAGAAAGGTCATGAATTCTTAGACAACACAGACAGTTTCAGATGTCTAGATGAATGCTATTACTACTTGGTATTGCTTGAGAAGGTATGCATTTCAAAAGGCGCATTGTGTTTTGACTTATGGATGCTTCATTGGTATTGCGGTGCTCACCTAGTTGATCGATTGCTGATATTCAGATTTTGCTATATGGAACGGAAGAATTATAGAAATATTCCTCGTGGGATGATCGTGTATGAGAGATGTGTTAGACATTCGGGCGGTGGAGTTGGTATCAGGTATGGTGATTCGTGTGTTCTATGGATTTGGAGACTAGGAGTTCTCAGAAGTAGATTATTTTGAGGTTGTGAACTGTGAAAATGTGGCCAAAGCTAGCTAGATGATAGTATGTGTTATGGTTATGTCGTTGTGGACTTTTGGAGGGCTATTTGTCCATTCGGGGATGACCAGAGTTGATTTGGGGCCTATTGGTAGGCCCAATAAGGATGTGTATTCTGTATCAGATCAGATTTGCTTGCTCATGTGCAGCTGTTACCACTAGTATATCATCGGGCGGAATAGATGTTATTCGCGCCTTGGTCTATGTTATGTGTTTCTCTCTTATGCTATGACGAGTTGTGAGGGTTACATGATTCTTCGCACATATTGTAATTTCATTTGGGCCTTATGGCATTATGGGCGAGATGGCCTTCGTGATGTTGACTTGCTTATTGCACCATAGTTGTGCTTCTCTTCCTCAGCATTATTTGTGCCTAATCATTTTACCACAATTATATATTGTGCACTCTATCATGCTTGATGTTGATGCACATGTGATCAGTGAGCCCGAGTATTATGGCTCGATGGGTACCTTATATGGATTGATATGATGGGATCGGGTTGCGCCGCAATGGTACTGTGATGAAATGTAACTCCTTATGCTTATTCGTGTATTTTGATTTCACCTTGTTAAAAATAGTTCATAGGAAAATGTTAAAAATTTCCCTTCCTGCTTAACTGCTTAGTAGCCTTCCTATTTAACTTTCTTACTATTATCTGTCATGTTTGAATTATTACTTATTGGTGTACGAGACCGCGTTGTGTGGGGCTCCATATGGTTTTTGGTGAGACTTGTCGCTTGGGATACTTGTATTAGCTGGGACGAGGTTTCTAGACCTGATAGTTGCACTATCGTATTGGGATAAGGAGTGTTCAGAAGAATGATACCATATTTTCGCTAAGGATTTGGGCAATGGCCCTGATCGGACAAGTGAGCTTCTTGGCTGATTGATCAGATGGGTGGTTAAGCGATTCTATATGTTTCCTTCATCATCGGCAGTGTACGAAGGTTTTGAATGAGGTTTTATTTGATGAGGTTTACTACTGGTACCGGATTTGTTTTTGAGCAGTTATGGTGGCCTTAGTAGTTACTATCGTGAGTATCTGAGTGATGGGGCATATCATGTGATCACATCTTGGCTTTTGCTTATGACTTAATGCAACTTGTTCAGTGATGGGGCATATCATGTGATTACATACTGGGTTTATAGTTATGACTTAATACAGCTTATTCAGACTTATACAGTGTGTATATGCGAGATTTGGGTCTTGTAATGAATTTTGGATGTTGGAAAGTGGGTTCTAAGGTTTACAAACTAAGGTTGAAGTAAGGATCTCTAGTTATGTTGTGTTGGCAGGCTTATATGGAGCGGAGTGACGTGGGATCCCCCTGGGTATGTGCATGGTAAGGTTACACCGTGATTTGATGGCCTTGGAACTACTCTTGGCAAGTTCGAGGATGAACGTTGTTTAAGTGGAGGAGAATGTAACAACTCGACCGGTCATTTTGAGCATTTGCACTTCGCTCAGTAGTTTGAGGGCACGAATATCTCCGCATGATATATTAGGAATTATATGCAAATTTGAGTTCATTTCCAGTTGATTTGATATGTTTCGGCGCGAGTTTTTGGAAGTCGAAAGTTCGAAAGTTCATTAAGTTTGATTTGAGGTGTGTTTCTTCTTTTCGATATTGTTATGCGTGATTTGAGGCCTCGAGTAAGTCTGTATTATGTTATGGGACTTGTTGGTATGTTTGTACGGAGTCCCGATGGAATCGGTTGAGTTTCATATGGGTTTGGGTGTGTTGCGCTCGTTTTTCTTATGTTTCGTTCAAGCATAAATGGTACCACATTACACAAATGAGTTTCGGTTTCTATTTTGATTGAAGCATTAGATCTGTATCGTAATTACGGAACCATTTAAAAAAGAATCATCGCATTTGGACATCGTATGAGGAGTTTGTGGTCATTTTACTAAGAATTGGGTTGTTAGATTTTTCAGATTAATTATGAAATTGCCACTGACTTCATATTTAAAAATCTACACTATTTTCAAATATTGAAACCAATATATCTCCTTTATTATAAGGTCAAATGGACTGATTTAAAGGCCTAACTTGACTGAAATTTCACAAGAAATCCATTTGAGGCATCAAAAATGAATTTCGGGATCATTTGACACAAGAAACGAGGCAGAACAACTGGTAAAAATACTTAATATCGAAGGTTTGTTCATTTGGTCACATTTTGAGTTGGGGAGCTCGAATTTGCGCAATTTTTGAAGGCAATTTTTACCATATGGATTGGGGTAAGTGTTATATACTCAATTTTGGTTATATTTAACGAATCCTTCTTTCTTTTTGGCATTTGATTGATGATTACAAAGTAAAATTGGGGGAGGGGGGGGTGTTTGTCTAATATTTCATAAAGTGAATTTTTGAGTTTTGAACATCGATTCGGAGTCAGATTTGAATGATGCTAGTATGGTTGGACTCATAATTGAATGGATTATCGAATTTTATAAGTTTCGTCAGATTTCGAGGTGTGGGCTCGGGTTTGACTTTTTGGTTGACTTTGGGCGTTTGATTAAAGATTTGACCTTTATCGATTTGGTTTGTTTTGGGGGCATTATTTAATGTATTTGAGTTGCTTTTGGATAGTTTCGAGCCATTTGGAGGTCGGTACATGCGGGATTGTATTTTTAGATCATCGTTTGGCTTGCTCGGTATCAATTTGGCTTGTAGGAGATAAGTGTCTTGCCTAACTTTGTCGAGAAAATTTTTCCTATTAGTTGCCATTGTTTGCTACATGCGAGGGTGACGCATATATGAGGTGACGAACATATATGCATGTTCCAAGGTTAATCATGCTCGGGGGTAAATTATACGATTAATTGTGTCTTATAGATTTATGTGACCTTGTTGCTTCATGTCTTACTTGACTTCTAGATTACTAAGAATACGAAATTAAATGTTAGAAACCAAGACTTAGTTTATTATAACTTGATTAAAATTTAACAGGATT